AATGGGGGCACTCTAATACAGGACATGTGTTACTGGCCAGATCAGCAGGTGAAAACAAACAGAAAAAGCCTAAAAAAAAAAGAAAACGAATGCAGCCACCACATGTAAAGATTGCTAAGCTGCAATATATTAAATTTTTGGTTTATTACCACTTTAACACCCATCGTTGGTGTCAGTGGATACAATAAGGACCTCCCTTCACTCCTTTACTCTGTATTGGTGGTAAGTGGCTGCCAAATGATCTTGGGCTATAACTTTCATTTTATGTGATCACTCTGCCTGGCAGTACCAACTTTATTTCAGTATCGGGTGGTGAAATGTAGAGATTGGGTTCCAGCATCTAGCACCCTGCCAAATGCTCCGTGTCCTGGAAGCTGCATAACATGGACAGTGAGGGACCATGCCCAAAATCTCAGAACTGTCCTGCAGGATTTAGGACACTTGGAATCTATGCCCCAATACGTATTGTCCTACCAGGGAGCTGACCAAGCTGTATTGCTTGTTTGTAACCTACACTACTGGGCAAAAGGTGTGAAGAAAAGCTGTAAAATAAGAATGTTTTCAAAAGTATAGATTTTTACAGTTTATTGTTATCAATTCACAAAATGCAAAGTGAGCGAGCGGAAGAAAATCTAAATCAAATCAATATTTGGTGTGACTACTCTTTGGCTTCAAACCAGCTCAATTCAATTCATCACGATCTTTTGAAGAAGCACAAAGAAAGGACAATGTTGAGGACCATCATTGTAGTGGTCAGCCAAGGAAATGTAATGAAGCAGATGAAAGACACATCATGCTTACTACCCTTCCACATCAGAAGATGTCCAGCAGTGCCATCAACACAGAACTGGTGGAAACAAGTAGGACCCAGGTACACCCATCTACTATCCGGAGAAGTCTGACCAGAAGTGGTCTTCATAGAAGAACTGCAACCAAAAAGCAACGCCTTCGACATGGAAACAAGGCTAAGCAACCCAACTATGCATGGAACATAAGAACTGGGGTGAAGAAAAATGGCAAAAAGTGCTCTGGACTGATGAGTCAAAATGTTAAATATTTGGATGTAGCAGGTGGCAGTGTGTTGGCAAAGGGCTGGAGAGCAGTACAATATTGAGCGTCTTCTGGCAACAGTGAACAAGTTGGAGGTTTCTGGCAAGTTGGGGGCTGCATATTTGCAAATTAAGTTGGATATTGTTGTCAGGATGAATGATCTCAGTGCTGAGAAATACAGGAAGATACTTATCCATCATGCCATTCCATCAGGGAGGTGTGTGATTGGCCTCGAATTTATTATTCAACAAGACTGCCACCCTTAACATACAGCCAATGTCATTAACCACTTCCAGTCCGGACACTTTTACCCCCTTCCTGCCCAGGCCAATTTTCAGCTTTCAGCGCTATCACACTTTGAATGACAATTGCGCGGTCATGCAACACTGTACCCATATGAATTGTTTCGCATTTTTTTGAGACAGATATAGATTTATTTTGGTGGTATTCACTACTGGGATTTTTATTTTTTTTTTTGCTATGTAAATGAAAAAGTCCAAAAATTTTGAAAAAAAGGTTCTTAGAAATTTTTGTAAATAAATGATCTTTCTTCATAAATCTAGGCCAAAATTTATTCCGTTATCTTTTTAGTAAAAAAACAAATTAGTTTATAACCACAAATTATAATTTTGAAACTTTTTTTTTTTTAACATACTGTCACCCTAGCAGTACAGTGTTACCATGGTGACACTGTACTACTTGTGGGGGGTGATGAATATATATATATATATTTTTTTTTTACACTGATTTCTTTTACACCCATAAAGGCTGTAAAAGCAATCATTTCTCTTTCTCTCTCTCTGCATTCTTGCAGCCATTGAGAAATACTGTGTGAGCTGTGATTGGTCACAGCTTGTCACATGGTACAAGGCTGCTGTGAATGGCCTTGTACCATGTGACCTCTGTGATCATTCACAGATTTCACACGTAATAAGCAATGATGTCAGAAGTGACATCTTGCTTACTACTCTACATGTGATCACTGATTGGCCAATCAGTGATCACATGATCGGGACCTCACAGAGAGGTCCCTACGACAATCGGTGTTCAACTGTGTCCGGAGGATACAGCGGGCACCGGATCGCGGTGCTGCGCGCACACAAGCAGGGGGCAGGGAGGCAGTTTATAAACGGCCACCCGACCTTGCACTGCCACCGTCTGGCCATTTATATACAACGGCTGGATGGGAAGTGGTTAAGAACTATCTTTAGTGTAAAGAAGAACAAGGAGTCCTGGAAGTGATGGTTTGGCCCCCACGGAGTCCTGAGCTCAACATCATGGAGTCTATCTAGGATTACATGAAGAGACAGAAGTATTTGAGGCAGCCGACATCAACAGAAGATCTGTGGTTAGTTCTCCAAGGTGTTTGGAACAACATACCTGCCAATTTCCTTCAAAAACTGTGTGGACAAGCACCGTGTGTACCTAGGACAGTTGATGCTGGTTTGAAGCCAAAGTGTGGTCACACCAAATATTGATTTGATTTGGATGTCTCTTCTGTTCATTTTCTTTCCATATACTTCCTTCCTTCTAGTGCTTTACAACTCATCTCCATGATGGTTGGCCTTATTGCCCAATAGCAAAATGCAGTAGATAGGATAGCATTAGTCCAACTCTAAATCAGGTAAACTGGTTGCAATTTGCACCCTGTGATTAGGGGAATGGGTGAACTTTATGTGGACTCTGAATGGACATGTGTGTAGTTGCAGGTGCAGGTCTCGTCATATCACTTCAAATCTTGACTGCAACACAAGTTAACTTAGAATTGTGGAAGTCATGGAGGTGTCATTCATTTAGAATGGCATCCCTTTGCTCACCTGCAGTTGCTGTCAATGCTTTTGGAGTGTAGCATAGACTGTAGAATATGAAGTAATGGGGGATGCGGAGGGTGCAGAATGTATGGTGGTGGGGGATACAGGGGGGCAGAACATGGTGTACTAGGGGATGCAGTTGGTGTAAAATGAGGTACAAAAGAGGTACATAGAGTTTTGGAGGGTTCAGGCAGTGCAGAGTGAGGTGTAATGGAGGAACCAGGGGGTATATATTATAGGGTAGTTGGGGGGGGGGGGGGGGGGACAAAATGTGGGGTACTGGAGGATGTGGGGGAGCAAAGTGAGATGTAAAAGTAAGGTTGAACGGAGTGCAGAATGTGTGGTATGCAGTGGGTGCAGAAGATGGAGTAATTGAGAATGCAGGGGGTTCTGAATGTTGGGTACTAGGAATGCAGGGGGTTCAGAATCTGGGGTACTAGGGAATGCAGGGGGTTCAGAATGTGGGGTACAAGGGGATCGGAACGTTGGGTGCTAGGGGGTTTAGGTGGTTCACAATGTGGTATGCTGGGGAATTCAGGGGATTCAGAGTGTGGGTATGCTAGGGGATTCAGGGGGTTTAGAATGTGGGTATGCTGGGGGATTCAGGGGGTTCAGAATGAGGGTATGCTGGGGGATTTGGGGGGTTCAGAATGCGGGTATGCTGGGGGATTTGGGGGTTCAGAATGAGGGTATGCTGGGGGGTTCAGAGTTTGGGTGTGCTGGGGGGTTCAGTGGATTCAAAGTGTGGGTATGCTGGGGGATTTAGAATGTGGGTATTCAGGGGGTTCAGTGTGGGTATTCAGGGGGTTCAATGTGGGTATTAAGGGGGTTCAGAGTGTGGGTATGCTGGGGGATTCAGAATGTGGGTATGCTGGGGGATTCAGAATGTGGGTATGCTGGGGGATTCAGGGGGTTCAGAGTGTGGGTATGCTGGGGGATTCAGAATGTGGGTATGCTTCAGGGGGTTCAGAGTGTGGGTATGCTGGGTGATTCAGGGGGTTCAGAGTGTGGGTATGCTGGGGGATTCAGAATGTGGGTATGCATTCAGAATGTGGGTATGCTGGGGGATTCAGGGAATTCACAATGTGGGGTAGTGGAAGATGTAGGGAGGGCAGAGTGTTAAAATGAGGATAGAGGGGCTGCAATGGGAGGGGTTTGGGGGTGCATGGGGAGACATTGTAGGAAAGAACCTGTCAGGAAGGCTGTATGGGGCCCCATGATTTTTAATGGTGGTCCTGCTCCCCCCTTGTCTGGATGCTGCAGGAAGTGAGCAGTAATCTCAGTCAGGACACACAGCATTAAAGCCTGGCAGGGGTTCTAATCCCCACTCTAAAGGTAGAAAAAAACCCATTTTGGCTAGAGTTCCATCTTAGCAGCAAGTTTGCATTCACCCCGTTTTGTAACCCCTGTCCAATATTCAGGAAAGGTTCATCAAATGTGAAAAGGTGGAGCCAACAGACAAATGACCATCTGAAGTTCCAGTGTGCAGTGATTTCCCTACTTATATTGCAGCGAAATACTACAGAAGAGCCCGGGGGCCATTCTATAAGAAATGTACCAAACAGTTCTGACTTTTAGGCCTCATGGACCCTGGAGCTCAAAAACATCTACTTTACAAGCGTATGGCTTTTTTTCTGCCTCTAAATGCCCCTCTGTTAGCCTGTGTGTCAACACATGAAGGTGTTTATCAGCAGATTCGAGTGTTAGCTGGAGTTTGGCTTCAATTTGTTTAATGTATCTAAATCTGCTAGTACATGTAACCCTCCCCTCCCCCAAGACTGACAATGCTGCTGTCCAAAGATGCCCCCTGTGCTCCTTCATCCAGAGTGGGGGAATTCCTAAATATAGGAGGTGTTAACATCCAGATCACCAGGTGAAAGCTGAGGAGAAAAGATCCTAAAAAAAAAAAAAAACTAATGCACCCACCACATCTGATTGGTAAGCTGCAATATATTACATGTTTGGCTTTGGGTTTATTACTGCTTTAAAGTGTTAATAAACCCCGGACCCTGCATTCACTATATCTGGTCTCCCCGGACCCTGCATTCACTATATCTGGTCTCCCCGGACCCTGCATTCACTATATCTGGTCTCCCCGGACCCTCTCCCCCCTGGACCCTGCATTCACTATATCTGGTCTCCCCGGACCCTGCATTCACTATATCTGGTCTCCCCGGACCCTGCATTCACTATATCTGTTCTCCCCGGACCCTGCATTCACTATATCGGTCTCCCTGGACCCTGCATTCACTATATCTGGTCTCCCCGGACCCTGCATTCACTATATCTGTTCTCCCAGGACCCTGCATTCACTATATCTGTTCTCCCCCGGACCCTGCATTCACTATATCTGTCTCCCGGACCCTGCATTCACTATATCTGGTCTCCTCGGACCCTGCATTCACTATATCTGGTCTCCTGGACCCTGCATTCACTATATCTGGTCTCCCTGGACCCTGCATTCACTATATCTGGTCTCCCCGGACCCCGCATTCACTATATCTGGTCTCCCCGGACCCCGCATTCACTATATCTGTTCTCCCCGGACCCTGCATTCACTATATCTAGTCTCCCGGACCCTGCATTCACTATATCTGGTCTCCTCGGACCCTGCATTCACTATATCTGGTCTCCCCGGACCCTGCATTCACTATATCTGGTCTCCCGGACCCTGCATTCACTATATCTGGTCTCCCCGGACCCACTATATCTGGTCTCCCCGGACCCCGCATTCACTATATCTGGTCTCCCCGGACCCCGCATTCACTATATCTGGTCTCCCAGGACCCCGCATTCACTATATCTGGTCTCCCAGGACCCCGCATTCACTATATCTGGTCTCCCAGGACCCCGCATTCACTATATCTGGTCTCCCAGGACCCCGCATTCACTATATCTGGTCTCCCAGGACCCCGCATTCACTATATCTGGTCTCCCAGGACCCCGCATTCACTATATCTGGTCTCCCAGGACCCCGCATTCACTATATCTGGTCTCCCAGGACCCCGCATTCACTATATCTGGTCTCCCCGGACCCCGCATTCACTATATCTGGCCTCCCCGGACCCCCGCATTCACTATATCTGGCCTCCCCGGACCCCGCATTCACTATATCTGGTCTCCCCGGACCCCGCATTCACTATATCTGGTCTCCCCGGACCCCGCATTCACTATATCTGGCTCCCCCCCCGCACCCCCGCATTCACTATATCTGGTCTCCCCGGACCCCGCATTCACTATATCTGGTCTCCCCGGACCCCGCATTCACTATATCTGGTCTCCCCGGACCCCGCATTCACTATATCTGGTCTCCCCGGACCCCGCATTCACTATATCTGGTCTCCCCGGACCCCGCATTCACTATATCTGGTCTCCCCGGACCCCGCATTCACTATATCTGGTCTCCCAGGACCCCGCATTCACTATATCTGGTCTCCCTGGACCCTGCATTCACTATATCTGGTCTCCCCGGACCCCGCATTCACTATATCCGCTCTACCACAGTACACATATCATGGAAAAGCAATTATTTTAGTATATATAAACTGCTAAATACCTTTTGTCATCAGCAGTTAGAGCAGTCTTGTGACTATCAGTGTTCTTTCTGCTCTAGGAAGATGCAGAACCCCTGACCTCTGTCTGGACAGAGCTGATTTGCCCTGTGCTGATCACATGCACTCTCCTAAGAAAAAAACCTCTATAGCATTACACACTAAACTGAGCATGTGCAGAAGGGCTACGGGTTCAGTCTGTCTTGTGAGCATGGACATTTGAACTAGAGGAGGGGAAGACAGGATCAAACATTGTTATTACACAATGCAGAGGATTAACCTCTTGGGTTCCACAGTGAGTATAACAAGCACGCTTTACTGCATATACAGACTGATGTTACTGTTGTGGGTTTAGTAACACTTTTAGGGCCATTTCACACTACGTGGGTTTCAGTTTTTTTTTTTTTTTTCTGCATCCAAAATGCCCAGAAAGTAAGTTATACGATTATCAATGTCATAGTTCACATCAGTGCTTGCAGTTCCAGTGCGTTTCAGTTGCAGAAAAAGTAGAACCGGCTGCATTTGTTCTGCACAGAATGGTACAGGAACGCGGTAAAACGCAATGGAAAGCACTGGAACGCACTTGTCCCTTTTTAGATTGAAGAAATGAGAGAGGGGAAAAAATGAACCGGAACACATCAAAAACATGCATGCAGAAACGCATCTGGACTGCGCTTCTATGGTGTGAACCGAAAGTGGAATCGGAAGTGTAGCTTCGGGGTACGGACCAGTGCTCTGCATTTTTTAATTGCCTTACTAGAGAAATCTGCTTAATGTATCAGAACTGACTGCAATGTGATCTCTGACTTTCAGATCCTTGGAACACCCAATGAAGAGACATGGCCGGGTGTCAGCTCTTTACCACATTTCAAGCCAGGTACGTTGGACCATTTATCTGGACTCTCATATACTTCTTTATGCTCATGTTCCATCTGACCTCCAGCCTCCCCTTCACTCTTGCACAGTTGTACAGGCTGCTCTCCTGGACTGAAATTACTCTGATTTCACTGCATACTGTGAGCTTCTCACAATGTGCATTAGAAGCTGCAGCAAGTCAGACAGCGCCAGTCTCATTTTCTGGCTGGAGGACGTCCAGTGTCATCTAGCCCCTTCACTCTCCAGTCTGACTGTCCCTGGCTGATCTTTCATTCATTGGATTTTAGTTCTTTTATTCATGGAGGATCAGCAGGGCTTGTTGATGTTACTTACTGCACCCATAAACGCATTCTGATACTTACATAGTTCTTTCCAAGATCCAGTCTGCTGCCTGCAGCAGGGCTGGGTGTTTTGAAAGGAGTACTTAAGCAGAGTGCTGTGATATTTTCAGGAATGTATGTAAGATTACTACCTCCCCACTAGCCATGAACTGTCTGCATTGCATAGAGAAGTGCAAAGACCCAGTGATGACATCATATCACTTCCCATTCCTAAAATATAATATAATGAACATACAAATGGTTTTGTTCAAATATTTCATTAGCATGAGGATGAAAGGAGGAATCAGGGAAGGTCAATTGTAATCTGGGAATGTGCAGCTCAGTGTACAGTCAATAGAAGACAGCGAGCAGACAGGTAAGTGTGTGGCATGCAGGGGCGGACTGACAACTCATGGGGCCCCCGGGCAATAGGGGGTCATAGGGCCCCTGTGTCTTTGCTCAAACTCACAAAAGCCTATGAAAAAGGTACCAGGGGCGTCTCATGGGGCCCCCTACTGACCCCGGGCCCTCAGGCAGTGCCCGAGTTTCCAAATGGTCAGTCCGCCCCTGGTGGCATGTCTCTTCTACAATCAAGCTGCCTGCAGAGGCGGACTGACCACTTGGGCACTGCCCGAGGGCCCTGGGTCAGTAGGGGGCCCCATGAAATGCCCCTGGTACCTTTTTTTTTTAATATGCTTTTTTGAGTGTGGGCAAGGACAGAGGGGCCCCATGATCCCCTATTGCCCGGGGGCCCCATGAGTTGTCAGTCTGCCCCTGGCTGCCTGTTCTCTGTCTTTTACAAATTCGGTTTTAGTTCTGCTTCCAAAAAGTAGTTATTTAAAACGGCAATGAAGGTATATCTAGACCCAAAAGCAAAAAAAACGGATTATGTTGAAGCTTCCCAGGTCTCAGGTCAGGTGTCTTTGTGAAGGTTCTTCAAACTTTTTTCCCTTTTTATTTTCACCCGGTAATCATTTTAGGAACACACTTCCGGTCCCTGGATGGCAAGGCTTAGGCTGGCCATACATTATACAATTTTGTTCAATTTCTGCCCAATTTCCTTTAGATTTACCTTCAACTATGTAGTGCAAGGACCTGCCTAATTGGATACAATTGAAACTGTTGTTTAGGTTTGACCTCATATTATATGGTTTTTGGTAAATCTAAAGCAAAATTTCTCAAGAAAATTGTATAATGTATGGCCAGCCTTACTCTTCCACTGTATCTACGGAAGAAGCCATGGTTGACACGCAGGCTGAACTTGAAATGTCCCCCCCCCCCCTTGTTCATCGCCATTACATTGTGGGGGTGATGGGATCAGTAGTTTAGAAATGATTGTTTTTGTTTTCAGCTGAGCTCACAGGAAGCGATAAGGATGTTGCACCTCTGATAAGGTCAACAGGTATTTTCTGTGCTTGCTAGAAAGGACTAATGCAGCCATCACATCCGCAATGTAGTATGTTTTCTTAATTTCATGCTTGAACAAGGAAATTTCTCAGTGGCAGCACCATATTCTGAACACTAGGTGGCAGTAGTGTCACATCTTTGTATAATGTGAGTTTTAAAAGTTGCAGCTGACTTTGCTCAGAAATACAAAGTCTGTAATTCCTCGCCTAGCACTCCCTAAACAAAAATGACATTTAATGTGTTACTAAACCCAGGGCTCTGCATTCACTATATCGGGTCTGCCACAGGACACAGAACATGGAAACTTCCTCCTTGGTCCAACACCACTAGGCTTCTCCAGGGCAAAAAGACACTCTATCATTCAGGCCACTTCTTCCTAATGTCCTTTATATCCCATCAGCTCATCAGTGTAGAGTAAACCATAAGGCAAAAAAAAACACTATTGAGTTGTGCTTTTACCACTCCCCCAGCCATCCTTAAAGTGTTACTAAACCCCGGACCCTGCATTCATTATATCTGGTCTCCCCGGACCCTGCATTCATTATATCTGGTCTCCCCGGACCCTGCATTCACTATATCTGGTCTCCCCAGACCCTGCATTCGCTATATCTGCTCTCCCCCCTGGACCCTGCAGTCACTATATCTGCTCTCCCCCCCCGACCCTGCATTCACTATATCTGCTCTCCCCGGACCCTGCATTCACTATATCTGGTCTCCCCGGACCCTGCATTCACTATATCTGGTCTCCCCGGACCCTGCATTCACTATATCTGGTCTCCAGTCACTATATCTGCTCTCCCCGGACCCTGCATTCACTATATCTGGTCTCCCCGGACCCTGCATTCACTATATCTGGTCTCCCCGGACCCTGCATTCACTATATCTGGTCTCCCCGGACCCTGCAGTCACTATCACTATTTCTGGTCTCCCCCGGACCCTGCATTCACTATATATGGTCTCCCCGGACCCTGCATTCACTATATCTGGTCTCCCCGGACCCTGCATTCACTATATCTGCTCTCCCCGGACCCTGCAGTCACTATATCTGCTCTCCCCGGACCCTGCAGTCACTATATCTGCTGCTCTCCCGGACCCTGCAGTCACTATATCTGCTCTCCCCGGACCCTGCAGTCACTATATCTGGTCTCCCCGGACCCTGCAGTCACTATATCTGGTCTCCCCGGACCCTGCAGTCACTATATCTGGTCTCCCCCTGGACCCTGCAGTCACTATATCTGGTCTCATTCCTGGTCTCCCCGGACCCTGCAGTCACTATATCTGGTCTCCCCGGACCCTGCAGTCACTATATCTGGTCTCCCCGGACCCTGCATCACTATATCCGGTCTCCCCATACCCTGCATTCACTATATCCGGTCTCCCCGGACCCTGCATTCACTATATCTGGTCTCCCCGGACCCTGCATTCACTATATCTGGTCTCCCCCCCGGACCCTGCATTCACTATATCTGGTCTCCCCCGGACCCTGCATTCACTATATCTGGTCTCCCCGGACCCTGCATTCACTATATCTGGTCTCCCCCT